AGGGCACTGCCCTGAAAACAGCTGGACGGTAGATTTTAGGGGGACATCACACTAAATGATGAGCAGAGGTCCCTTCCAGACAACATTTCCATGATTCAACATCTCCATTTCCCCAAGTCTTAACCAACTTGAGCCAGAAAGTTGGGATAGGAAAAACATGACATTACAGAAAAGGTGGCCAGATACTTGGGGCAGATCTTCCAGTATTCCCCTAATACATGGTGCAGCATGAGCACAATAGGCATGGTTTGGACCTATGGCAGGACTGTACTTTTGCAGCAACCTCAGGGGCCCTAGTCTTAAAAATATACTATGCTCTGTAGTGGTAATACTTGCAATTAAAAACTAATGAGTGTTGAAATAATTTGTAGCAAACAATTAGCAAATGGGATTTGTACAGATGCACATGGGCAACCAAAGAACACATGCAAAATTATGTACCTAATTTGCTTGCACATCAAAATGTCAAAAATAAATGGAGAAACTGTATGTCAAAGTACATATCATAGAATCATAGAATGGTTTGGGTTGGTTGCATTCTATGAGTGGACCTTAAAGATCATCTAGTTCCAACCCCCCCGCCATGGGTAGGGACACCTTCCACTAGATCAGGTAAAGCCCCATCCAGCCTGGCCTTGAACACCCCAGCTTCCCTGGGCAACCTGTTCCAGTGCCTCACCACCCTCACAGTAAAAAAATTCTTCCTAATATCTAATCTAAATCTACTCTTTTTCTGCTTAAAACTGTTACCGCTTGTCCTGTTGCTACACTTTTTGGTAAAGAGTGTTTCCCCACCTCTCCTGTAGGTCCTCTTTAGGTACTGTAAGGCTGCTCTAAGGTCTCCCCGGAGCCTTCTCTTCTCCACGCTGAACAACCCCAACTCACTCAGCCTGTCCTCATACGGGAGGTGCTCCAGCCCTCTGATCATCTTCCTGGCCCTCCTCTGGACCCTCTTCAACAGGTCCATGTCCTTCCTGTGCTCAGGACTCCAGAGCTGGACGCAGTACTCCAGGTGGGGTCTCACCAGAGCACAGCAGAGGGGGAGAATCACCTCCATCGACCTGCTGGTCACACTTCTCATGATGCAACCCAGGATATGGTTGGCTTTCTGGGCTGCAAGCGCACATTGCTGGGTCATTGCAACTTTCCATTTGCGTGTGCAGTTACTCAGAGCCTATTAAAAGCCCTATGCACATCTCTGCCTGATAATCCTTTTCCAGAATGTAGATCACAATATATCATACAGATCACAAATAAAAAGAACCAAGAAACTGATGCCACCTCTGAGTCATTCTTTTTATTTCTGTTCTGACAGGTGATACCAAACTTCTAAGAATTTATGAAGCTTTGAGCTCAGCTAAGATGCATGAAATTAATATGTCAGAAAAGCTGTGTGAGTAATGCAGCTGGGAAGCGTACATGCATTTTGCTTGCAAGAAGTTCCAAGCCTTTTATACTAAAATGCTTTAAAGCATGTAAGTGCTGACTATATTGGGGTTTTGCTCAATAGCATGCAGTACTCAGAGCGAACCTTCATGAAAATAGCGTAAGTATTGTGTCCCACCCCCTTTTATTGTAGTGATTAGTGAGTGAACTTGTTTAAATGTGTTTGCTGTGATTCTTGTCTCAGTATCAACATTACATTAATTTCTTCTCTCTGCTGGCTGTTTTGTCATGTATCTATATTTTCTTGGTAACTCTGTGAGGTAAAGTTACATGACTCAGCTGAATTTATTTGATCCTGTTTGTTTTTACCTCATTCTAACAATCTTTTACTGATGCTAATATGTTAAACAACCATGAACTAATTTCTGAAAAAAGAATGTACCACTTACAAAAAGTACTGAATAGCGTGACAAGGAATGGCTAAGGTGTGAGATGGTCTGTGTGTCTGGAACAATGAAATAGTCTGGAAATTACAGCCTGGAGAAAAAGGAGGGGTGTGACAGAATTCTCTGAAACCAGTAGCTTTTCAGAGAAAGTAACAGCAAACAGTTGTTCACCATTTCTCAGAATGTAACAGTGAAGAAACATAAAATAAAACTAGCAAGCAGCCAATTGAAAGCAGAAGCAGATAACTCAGATAAACTGTGCATATTCAAAGGATGTTGTGGATGGTAAGATTTTTTTATGATTTCAAAGACATCATTGGACAAGTCCATGCAAAAAAAATAATGAATATATTGAATATAAAGATACTGCCTTCAGTTCATGAGACCTATGAACATAATTTGCTGTAGTCTGGGAAAGTATGGCTGTATGTTTGCCCTTTTATACCCTTCACAAACCACTTACTTCTGGCCATTACCATAGGTAGAGTAGTATGGTGCTTGCGGCTATGATCTGTGGTGGTATTGGTAGTGTCATGCCCTATGTCACTAACAACAAACTTTAAAAAAAATCTGAAATGAAAATGCGACAAACTCTGTCTTCATAAACATTCTGTTAATTTCTCTTCAAGGTGAGATCCTTAACTGTTCCTTCTCCCTTTTGTGAACTTTTGTGAGTGTTATGAGAGAGGTACTCAGAGCTACCATAGGATACTGGATTGGTTTAGCCAGACCTGCACATGTAATGAGGCCTGTTGCTGGCTGATCTAAACCACTTGTTTGAGTTACACCTGAGAAATAATCCAGCACTGAGATTTAAAAAAATGTTTGACTACACTTCATTAATAAAATTGAAGGCCACATTTTCCAGAGGTCAGCAGCCATGAAAGACGTACAATTTTCCAACGATGCTGTTCTGAACAGAACGCCACGTTTCCCAGGGGGTTAAATGCCCAGTACTCTTTTTGACCTTTTGAAAACACAGCCCAAAATGTACATGAATCAATTTTCTCAGTGACTTCAAGTAAACCAGGGCTGAGCTGAAAATAAAAGGACACTTAAGAACAGCGTTTCACAGTGTGTTCTTTGTACAGCACTCATATGTTGTACTTGCTTGTAATTGTGGCTGTAATCAATGTTGCTTTTATGGCTTTCAAAGGGCCCACAGTCTTAAAATGTCTTGCTGGACACAGAAATCTATATCGTTACTTTTAAAAGTTGACCACAAGAGTTGTTACCAACTCACTGGCAGAGAAAGGAAAGACAGTTCCAAGTGCTTGCCACAACTCGTGCCCTTCAAACTGCCCAACATGGCCAGTGCACTTACTACAAATCAGGGAAACTTGTTCTTCTTTCCAGACACCACCTCCCACAGTCTCTGAGCAGGTTTAAGAAATTATTGCAGCTGCACAGAAAAATTACAAACATTAGTGTGTGCAGTCTGAGTACAGTAAATGTCATACTGGATCACAGCCACTATTTATCCAGTACAATAATCTGCCCTTGAGATAGCCACGTGATACGTATCTGAGAAAGGAAAACCCCAGAGTAGATAAAGATGGGAATAGAGGATAATCTGCTCCCATAAATATTGAATTCTAAATCCCAGCAGCTAGAGTTTGCTTTAAAGCCTGAAGCATGAGTTTTGATATCTATCTCATTACTTTTTTTCTTGCAAGCATTGGTTATTTCAGCTGAGAATTCTTGACTGTACAGCATACAAAGTTCCCTCTTGTCTTGCTAAATTTATGACCTTGGGAATTCCTTGTCAGCTCACCACATTAGTCTTCCTATAAGAAAACAGTTCAAGGAATAGGAATTCACATCAGTTATGTGACTTAAAAAAAAAAAATCTTCATACTCTACATTGCAAATTCATGTTCGCTGCCACACATTTTAGTGCCTGGTCTAAATCTGGGGCAAAACTATATTTACATATTTTTGATCTCTTTCTCAGTTGAATACTGTTTTCTAGCTCCTATTAGAATCATAGAACCATAGAATGGTTTGGGTTGGATGGGACCTTAAAGATCATTCTGTTCCAATCCCTCTGCCATGGGCAGGGACACCTCCCACTAGACCAGGTTGCTCAAAGCCTCATCCAGCCTGGCCTTGAACACCTCCAGGGCTGGGGCATCCACAGCTTCTCTGGGCAACCTGTTCCAGTGCCTCATCACCCTCACAGGAAAAAATTTCTTCCTAGTGTAAATTCTAAATTTACCCTCTTTCAGCTTATAACCATTACTTCTTGTCCTGTCACTATACTCCCTGATAAAGACTGCCTCCCCATCCCTCTTATTGAAATGAATAAATAGTAGAAATGCTTACAGAGGGAAGAACAGATTATAGAAATACATACAATGTGACAGGTACTTCTGAAAATAAAAATATTCTCTGTTAAATCAGGTGCAATGGTAACCCTTTTGGTTTTGTGGCAAACAGTTTCAGTTCTTCAAAAATGTTGACAATTTTTCTGGATATAACCTGTTGTTAAATCTTTTCTGTCACCTTTTAAGGACTAATTTATGGTCACTTTTAATGTATACTTTGGAGGTGTGCTTTTATGCATATTTAATACTTATTTAGACAGATGCAATAGGAAGATATGTTATTCTGATTAAATTATTCACCAGTACAACTAGAAAAATAATTTTTAAAAATAAAGCCAGTGAGCTGTGAATATACATAAGTTTTTTGTTAGTTGGTTGGTATTTTTCTTATTTTCTGCCTGGCTAGGACGTATCTGCCTATTGCTATAACTACCTAAACATACTGTATGCATACAGACATACATTGCTGTGTATCACAAGGGAAATAAGGTACTTCCTATCTAAGGAGCAGCATAAGGAATGTTTTATCCAATATGTCTTTAGTCTAAGCCAGCCTCTGAGCCAGCACTGGTCTTGTGGATACTTTTAGATGACAGACGTGTCACAGCTCTGGATAAGGTCATCCTTGGACACATGTCCATTCTAATGATGTTATGGTATTAGTGATATCAACAAGGACAGTTCAGACCTCAGCCTGCAGAAACAAAAGGGAGGCAGTGTATGACTATTTCTTTACAGGAGTGTATCATGAACATTTCGTTACAAGTAGTGTATCAATCAATGACATTACTTGGTGCATTCTCACAAGCAAGCATAAAGCTTTTGTAATTTCTTTGCTTACCAAGTTGCTCTGCTAAATGTTTGCCTCTCTCAGTGAAGATTACCCGTTCATCCTCCATATCACATTTGTTACCGACCAAAATAACCTGGGCATTATCCCAAGAGTATGTTTTGATTTGAGTTGACCTTAAAAGAAAGACACACAGAGAGAGAGAAAGTCAAAGCAAAGCAAATTCCCCTTAAATCAATTTCAAACAGAATTGTAACAAGACAAAAAAGACAACACCGATTTTGACATGCAGGGTAACATGATCCTGTTTAATTCTGGATTTCGAAACAAATGATCATCTGTCACAAATTATTTTTACAGGAATAATATCAACAGAGGTTTTACTTTTGCTTGTTAAAACATGGCAGTCTTTCAATATTCTCCCCTGCCAGCAACGTTCTTCCTATATTTTTAGAAAGAAGTGGTGACAATTTCTCTTACACAATTAAAAAAAGTATTTTCACATTTTAATGCAAACTTTATAATCTAAAACCAGAGCTTTGAAACCAAATGAACAGCTTATTAAATTCTTATCTTTCACCTTTTCAAATTAGGATCTAAATTTATCAGCAAAACTTCAAACTCATTCTGTCTTCCTTCTGTTGTTTCTCTCCAGCACGTTCCACTATAGCTCTTTGATCTACCAGGACGAAAGCAACATTTACATTGCACATCAAGCCAGGAAGAGGGGCTGAGTTTGAACTTCGATTTACCTTCCATTTAAATTATGCAGTCCCTAACCTTGACTATAGCTGAATTGGAATATCTGAGGCCTTGAAACACCATGGAACCTTGAATGCTGGTGGTGAAACAACTTACCCTACACAGCTCTCTTCTGCAATTTGAACGTGATGCAGCTAATGGACAACTTAAGAGCACACTTGTAGCACCTCTCAGCTATTGACCGCCACTACTCTGCTGATACTCAGACCTGCTATGTAGGAAGGAAAGCTCCCTGTCCTGGCTCCAGGCTCAGCCAGGAGTGATGCTGCTCGCTACCACCTTCTAACTGAGAGCAGCACCTCCCCTTGAAACTAATGCAGGGTGCTTACTCTAAGGACTTGCCCTTTGCCTTGAACTTGTGACCATGTCTGGACATAGGCAGAGTCAAGTACTTGGTAGGATATTACTGTATCTCTGCCATCCCCATATGATCGACGGACAGAGAAAAGATGTAGAGTCTCTCTCTCTCTCTCTCTCTCTTTCTCTCTTACCCCTTGGACAATACAGGGTACTTAGGAAAACTACACCGAAATAGAAACTGACCTGCTTAACTATATATTTAGGAGAGAGTGCTCTGGAAGGGAATCCTGTTGTGTATCAGGCCCCAGGTCTCTGTGAGAAAAGATGAAATAGCTTCAAAAATCTGTCACCTAAGTGTTTTGGAAGCTGGCCCACGTAGGCACTAATTTCACTAGTGACCCCTTCTCATAACACAGCCATTGTCTTTACATATTCAGATTCTTGTCTGCAAAATGTTCCATGCACAAAGAAGAACATGATGCAGTCCAACAACCATTTCTAGTGAAAGACAGAAAATGGATCAAATCTCCCCAGCTGGCTCTGCTTACTGCAAGACCAGAGGGATGGCCATGGGCAAAAACTGCTGCGGCTATCTTTGTAACCTGGGGTCCAATGCCACTGCCCACAGGCCCAGATCCCCCTGCATGAATCAAAGCACCTTTAAGCCATGTGTGATGGGTTTGCAGTGCTGGCAAGCGTAATTTAAGGGGAAGGATCACACTGCCTTTAGGGTTGTTATACTTCATCAGAATGGCCAAAAAAAAGTTGAAGCAAGCCCCAGGCATTTCGTGCTGCAGATTGTTCCCTTGTGCCTGCCCTGATCTTTCCTTCAGGAAATAGACACTGTGCTATTTTAAGTCTATTTTATAGTAATTTGAGTAGGTGACCATAGGGTACTGTGAATAAAGCAAAGGTCAAACTTCTGTATACACTTAACATTTTAGTAAAGATACAGTTGCTCAGAAAAAAAGGGTGTCATGTATTCATTTCAGCAGAAATGTTATTTTGGAACCATATTGAGTTCTTCTGGAATTTGTGGTTAAACAAAATAGAATTTTTTTTTTTTTTACCAGAATAACGTTTGTCACCATAGCAACTTTGCCAATACTAGTATCTCAAACGTCAGAGGATGTTAGTCCATTAAGGACTCTAAGAGAGCTTAGCTTTGAACAGCTAAGAGTTGGGGGTCAATTTGTTCCCCTTATGTCATCAGGAAATTGAAGATGTTTCAAAGGCAAAATACACAGTAAATATATTAAGTTTTGCAGAAGAAATTACTTGCACATTCTCCAGAGGTGAAATTTAAGAAATTTATTAATGAAGAGATACAAGAATACATTGTCACACCAGTGTAAAGGGAATTCATTTATCCTTGTTTTGCAGACTTTTGCTCCAGAGCCTTACCAGAGTTTATTTGCTTATGGGTGTAACCCCCTCCATTCTACTGCAGCCAGACATGATTTGTCATTCTATGAACTATGTACCTGTGCATTCAAATACTGCTTATTACCAAAGCAACTTATTTTATTCTTAGACCTTTTTATCAGGTTTGCTTATGTCTCATCTTCTAATTATAAAGAATTTTTTGAGCAACAAGAGATCTTGTCCTTGATAACAATTCCAGAGACTTATGTTTTGCAAAAGACTCTGTAGTGCAAAAACGTAACTGACTGAATGTGATTATCAGTCAAATATATCCCCACCCAACCCCACACCAGTAGGAGCTTGGATTCAAATAATATAATAGTCTTATCACTATTATGTTTTCTTTTAGATGTACATTTCCACTAATGGCTTCTGTAGATTTTGACTCCCACAATTCTCCACAGAACCCAACATACAGATCATTAAAAAAAAATATTTTGTTGTTCCTTGCGTACATGATCTTTCAAATGACCAAGGCTTCTGATTAATCCAAAACTTGTGAAGAAATTTAGCCCCAGGAAGACTGAAGACCTGAGAAGGCAAAGCTGATGTTTGCAGTAAGCTGAATACAGCAATTCTTCTTCAGTCTCAATGACCTGGTGTATGTCAATAATAATTTACCCTGTAAATCTTTCACATTCTAGAGTGTGTGATAGGCAATCTGTAACACGTTGGTCTAGACACCAGAGGGGTAGATTAATGCAGGAGTTCAATGATCCATTACTTTCAGTGATCAACGGAAGACTTGTTCTCCCTGTACTGCAGTTCTGCTGAATTCCTTGTCAGAAAAGAGCACTTGCTAACTAAAGCAGTGCTATTTGCTCATCTACTATATTTTCTACTACTGGTTCAAAGTACTGTAAAGTTACATCAATACATCTCCAAAAGACTTTTGGACCGTTATGACAGAAAACTCTCCAAGTTAATATGGAGGCTTTTTCCCTTTGTTTGATGGGATGAAATACTATGTGGAAAAAATGTTCGAAACACAGTTTTTTGTTTTGAACACAAAAATCCTACTTTGTTTGAAATAAACCCTAAAGGAAAGGCAAAGTTAAACACTTCACACTGGCATATGTCCATAACCACACTGCATTACCATGCTCCCTAGTTCTGCTCCTAGGAAATGCCTTGCAATGACTGTTAGTTCAAAAAATATTATTCTGAAAATATTGCTTTTTAGTTCAGCAGAGTATAATGAGGTTTTTCGTATTGCTGACACTTCTAACACTGTCATTTACTGAATGAGAGAATGAAACCACTCTTGCCTAGGCAAAACTACCCACTGTAACCTCATCTCTCATGAGCACACAGGTTTCAGTGAATACTACAATTACTAAAATGGTAAGCACACCATTATAAAGATCAAAGACTATTATCACAGACTACACACCTCCAAGTCTGCTAAAAAACATTAAATGTCAGTTCTGGTTGTAATCAAGCACAGTGAAAGGCATTTTTATGACAGAGAGGAAGGAGCAGGTAAAAGGCCTATGTTGCAGCATGTTATCTCCTGGAAAAAGATCAGGTACAAGCGTAAAGGGCTACATCTATTCTCAGATAAGACTCTTCTTGAGGTCTATAAAAGAAGCAGTATACCAAAGAAGTAGGTTCTACCAGGAAGATCGAAACCAACCGTGAAAGAACAAAACTTCCAAAGAAGTAGGAAACTAGCCTTTGTGCAGCAGTGTGACCCTGCACCTCTGAGCATGCAAGAGCTTCAAATAATTGTCCAGGCAACAATGGTGGAGTATCTGTGTGTGCTCATGTGGGCAGCTTACAAGGAGCACTGCACAGCAGGATGGTGTGGGGTTCAGAAATACCCAGCCCCAGATGGCTGAGGTAGCTGAGATGCTGGAAACCAAGGCAGCGAGCACAGAGCAATACAGGAGTACTGCTGTGCTGTTACTGCAGTCCAAACTAGCTTGTTCACATTAAATTGTGTGATGAAATCTCATCTGCACATCCACAAAGGAGCACAGAGAGACAATGGCAGTTGGGAGAGCCTAAATAATATCCTGGCCCTGGCTGCTTCCAGGCCTGTTACAGGAGCCATCAGCCTGTCAAAGACCCATGTCCACAAGCACAGAGGAGCACAGGGTCACAAGCGCAGGTAAGAACCCAAATTAAGGACTAAGGGACACCACATACAGGCCCCTCCTAGGGCTGTCCCAGGAGTGAAACTTGTCACCACAGGTCAACGCTGGAGGTTTGTATGTCCAGGTGCCAGCAACTGAGGAGACTGGAATGCAGGGGCAGCTACTGGAGACGGAGTTTCAGGTTGCACCCACTGGTTAACATAGATTACGGTTCACTCTGAATGTATCTCCAGAGGATTGCTTCTTACTAATTCATATATGTCCAGAACAAACATTAATCTAACCTGAAATAGTCTCTAGTATATTCTCACCCTCAGGCAGCAAAGATAGCAAACAGATCTAGTTGATAAAGATATGTCCATACAGTAAACAAGCCAGGAATATAAACTTCTAGAGACAGCTGCAAGCTACGCACTACTGTTTGGAACTAGAGGCCTCCAGGGATGCTTGCCATCCCTGGAGGGGCTGGTTTCTCTGGCCCTTTTAGATTAATTATGTAGTAAGTCATATGCACTGACAGCAGAGAGGCACCCTAATGAAAATGCTCCAGAGGGGGACATGTATAATATTTATTCCAACAAGTTCAGGGA